TGATCCCTGGTGTGGGCGGGGATGGGGATTGTACATCCCTCCTTGCCCTACTTGAACTCTTGGCAGCTTTTGATACTCTTGACCATTGTATCCTTCTGGATCAGCTCAGAGGATTGGGGGTGGGCAGCACAGTGTTGTGCTGGTTCGCCTCCTTTCTTTGGGGTCAATTCTAATCAGTGATGATCGGGGAGGAGAGGTCCTGCCTCGGCCCCTACTATATGGAGCGCCACAAGGTTCGGGGTTGTCTCCTTTTTAACGTCTACATGAGGCCACTGAGTGAGCTCATCCGTTGTCATGGGGTAAGGTACTATCAGTATGCTGATGATACCCAATTGTACATCTCTGCCCCTGGCGAATTAAGTGATGCTGTGAACGTCTTATCTCAGGGCCTGGAGGCTGCGAGGGTCTGGATGAGAAAAAACAGGCTTCAGCTGAACCCTGGCAAGACTGGGAGGCTTTGGGTTTTGGGGCCTTCTGGTCCTAGAGTTATGCCATCTTTGGTGCTGGATGGGGTAGCACTGCCCCAGCAGACCCAGTGCTCAAGCTGGGGGTCCTCCTAGACTCATGACTCCTACTCAAAGAGCAGGTTGCAGTCATGGCTAAGAGGGCACAGCTTCAAGTTATGTGCCAGTTCCCCCATTCCTGGATCGGGAAGCTCTGCTCACAGTCACTCATGCCCTGGTCACCTCCAGATTGGACTACTGTAATACACTCTACATGGGGCTGCCCTTGAAGAGTATTTGGAAGCTTCATCTGGTTCAGAATGCAGCAGCGTGGGCAGTTATGTGTTCACCTAGAACAGCATATTTTACACTGCTCCACGAGCTGCATTGGTTGCCAGTTTGCTTCTGGGTCCATTTTAGGGTGCTGGTTTTAACCTTAAAAGCATTTCATGCCATGGGGCTGAGTTATCATTGCCTCTCCCTGATTATATCAGCCCACCCTATTAGATCCAGCAGAGAGGGCATGCTGCTGATACCATCTGCCAGGGACCTACATTTGGTGGATCCCAAGCAGCGGGCCTTCTCTGCCATGGCGCCAGCCTTGTGGAATAATCTTTCTCCCCTCCCCAACATTAGGTTAGCTCCATCCCTTTTGATGTTCCAGAAGCCGTCAAGACCTGGCTGTATCACCAGGCCTGGGGGTCCCAGGGAACGAGACACGTCTAGATGGCTCCACTATTGAGGTGGATGTACACTCTCTCTCTTTCTGAATGGGGTTTATATACATTTTAGTTTTAATTAATCTCTACTTTTAATGATGACTTTTTATACTTTTAAATGCCTGGTTTTATATACGTATTGCTTTTTATTTGATTATTGTATGCTGCTCAGAGTCACTTCTCGTGAGATGTATAAATTTGTTTAATAAATAAATAAATAAAATTAAGACAGAAACATTCAAAGAAAAAACAGACAAAATAGAGATACAGTCTGATATGAGAAGGATGATATCCTCTGAATTTTCCATGAAATTGACATAATAAGCAATGCCTGTTATATGCTAAATAGACCAATCTGGAATCAACTAGAGTACTGTCATAGTTCTATTTGAAGAGGTGTATGTTCAGCATCTGCCACTTCCTGCTGGAACTAAAGCAAGTATCATGGCCCAACTATTGTTTTATTTAAAGCCATGTCAAGTTGCATTTACCTTGGTGAACAGTGAATTTATAATTAGATTATAAAACAGAAGCCTTTCTT